ACTATATTTATATAAAAAATATAACAAAAAAAAAAAAAGAAAAGATCGTTACATACTTCCATTCTGTTTCAAGCTCTTTCATCATAGCTGTGTAAGTATCGGCCATTTCTTGGCGTATTTGGAGATCGCGTGTTAATGCAGAACTTTTTAAAATAGCAATTTCTTGTTTTAGTTTTTTATTTTCACTCATTAACTCACCATAGTTTTCCATTTCTTGATAATGAGATATACCATTATCATCAACTGTGCTTAGCCACTCTATTAAACAAATTAAAAATTAAGGATTGCACTTGAACTCTAGTTTAATTTGGGGTACATACCTCCACTTTCTAATTCTGCAACATCCCAATCAGTTACTGTTTTTATACTTTGTGTGACTATTTGTGAAAATCTTGATTTATTTTTCTTATGCACTTTCTCCTTTTCTATAACTATTTTTTTTGCAATTGCAGAAAAATTGAGCACACTTTGCGTTTCTATATACAAATTAGGAAGAGGATTAATATTTACTATTAGAGCTATATGTTCTTTTCCAGACAATGCTTTTTGAAATAGCCTTGTCAATTTTGATTCTCTAAATGGACCAATGTGTTCTATTTTCTGTTTTGACAACTGCCCTTCATGAATCGTTTTTAAACACCTTCCTAATACTAGCAGACTTGTATTAATATTTTGTGCTTCTTTCAATCTATCTCCTATGTTCAATGTCTTTTTCAATCTTTCTGAACCAGCCAAATCACAAAATGCAAATCTATCATTAAGAAAAATATATACATTTTTAACATATTTTTTTATAGTAATGAATGCCCAATAAAAATAGTAAGAAAAAATATCATTTACTTACGTGCTAACTTCAACAGAATTGGGATCATTCTCAATATAATACTTCAACAATTTGATAGTAAATATACAATGTGATCTTGAACTTCTTGCATTTAAAGCAGTTGCAGCTACTTTCAGATTATACTGCCCGGCCATTAAAACTTGATAAGCTTCAGAACCAGAATTCACACAAACAGTTTTTAAACCTTTAATAAATGCTCTACCTTGATTATCTGTTGCTAATTTAAGGGCTGTTCTTTTCTTTTGACACTCATTTGATAAGAGATCATATACAATTTCATTATAAATTTCAGCAAAAGAAACCCAAACAGAATAATGTGCACCAATACATTGACTAGGTCTAATAGGTGATTCTTCTTGTAATAATTTTTGCATTTCTTTATAAGCATTTATGTATTGAGATTTATCTACAGAAGCAAATGTCAACAACTTGGTCTTTATTTCCAATTCTTGTGCTCGTTCAAGAGGATCCAAAGTAACAACATCACAATGATTCATAGGTTTATATGAAGGAGTAGATTTTGGTGTAATGTTAGAAAACACAAATTCTAAACCTCTTGGTATAATTCCAGGAGATGTGGTAGTTCCTTGTAATGTATAAGATTTTCCTGAATTTGTGGTGCCTATAAAATTATGTTATCCATAAAGCTTATAATATACATGACAATGTAAAATATATAAATGATTATATACAAAATTTAGTTACAATGTATTTTATTCCATTACCATAAGTCATAATAGTAGAATTTTGTCCACCTAAAAAGTCTATCATTTGTTGTTTTACAGCTTGTTCAAACAAATCTAACTGAGTAGTTTCTGGCCCAAAAGTTTTTGTAAATGTGAATTTTCTGCACACAATGTCAGTACTATTGGACCTTTTGAGACAACTGGTATTATTGTCTAAAGCAGGCAATTTTGTATATAAAGTAGTTAAATTGATAACTTGATAAGCATCTTGTTGCTCTTGTGTTAATTTTAACTTCTTAGGAAATGGTTTCATTCGTAAGTATACTTTAACAGTTTGCAAATCTTGTAACTCTGAATTTAAGGAACCACTCTCTTCAATGGAAGTACAGTCTTCAACTTCATAGACAGAAATTAAATTCTTTTTGGCATCTTTTGAGACACAAGGTCTTTGTCCATAGGCTAATATACTGGGATCTCTTCCAAATAAGTATGACATTTCTTCTGGATTAATATTATAAGAAGGTCTAATGGAATCTAACGTATTATCCATCTATAAAAATTTTAGAAAATGTTATTTTTTCTGTGTATTTTCAATGTGTATAATGCAAACAAAAGTTTTTATTCGTCTTATACCTCTCTATAACGACATTTTCAATTAACTAACAATTATATAAAAAATAATATATCATTGCACTTATTAAATAAATATTATTTAAACGTTTGTATTTTAATATTATTTTCATCTATTACTGCATGCTTCTAAAAACAAATGTTTTTGAATGTCGATATTAATCATAATGAACTGATAACCTGTTCATTTTAAGTACAAATACGAACCTTATACTTTAAAACTATAACAATCACTCATAAACTGTTAAACTAATAACTATTTATATGTATTACATAAATATTTCAATAATTGAAAACATTCACATTTCGTTCTGGAGAAACTCACAAATTCATGATAAAACGGTTAGTATTTTATTTTGAAATCCTAGCATAGGAATACTTCATATTCATTGGTCGAATACTCAATAAAAGTATTATTACCGCGCTCAACGTATAGCCAATGAAAATTGAAACGTAGTTTCGACACCAATAGGAATTAAAAGTTGGTTCTAATTTGTTAATGCGTATATCACGCGATATTAAAAATATTTAGTTGAAAAAAACACATTTGTATCATTATCCACGAAAGATTTAGATATACTTTAATCTACTCATAACGATGGCTATCTATATTAACAATACATAGATTACCACATGTTATTTATACTTAATCAGATAAGGCAGCTATAATAAACACTACAATACTATTATTAAAATAAATCTTTATTATATTTATCATTCGTACCAATATTTACAGATCTCCAATCAAACATATATATACATTTAGCAGTTAGTACTCTCCTTTTTCTGTTACATTCGCATACAATTAGAATTTATAACTTCTTGAATAAAAAATATTTCTTTTTGGACGTTCGAGAAAATAGTCCAAAATTACTAAAAGTAATTTAAATAAACGATGTTAGGAAGAAACCCGGTTATATAACGCACATATGAATTGTAAAATACTAGAAAATGACATAATAATTAAAAAAAATATTATGATAAATATACCTAACATTTTATTAATGTAGGAATACTAACGTGAGCTCATAAGTCTCTAGTCGCACCTATGAAATATTTCACGCACCATTATTGACTTTTGTATCACGTTTCGTGTTACATGTAAAAAGAACGCGTGGTTTTACAAGATCCACTTTGGAGTATTTAAACACGGAATCAAATATGAAATTACAAGTAAAAATGAATTACATTTGCAATGTACATCAACACAGTTATTTCTCTAAATTTTTATGTTTTTTACGGTTTTATATACTTCACCCAATATTTTTTTCGATCATGTCGATCGACTATTTATTAACAAAGAGAGCAATACTTAGAAATAGATTTGATCTAATTTTTTCATCGTGCACTGATGATTTTGAACTGTTTTAAATTATTATTTAACGAGTTTTAAATGTAATAGAATAATCGTAATGTCAAGATTCCTGATTCAAAATGTCTTTCAAGTCATCTGGCAACGTATGCGTGATGTCGTCTATTCTTTCTTGAAGTTTTTCTCTTACAGAATTTCCTATAGGTACTTCGTCGATGTAAGTCTTTTCTAATTTTTGCCGAATTCTAAGAATCATATCTACCAATTCTACCTCTCGTTTTCCTTGTACCCAAGTCTTTAAGTCCTACAATCATAATAATTTGTTTAAAAAGAAGAATAAACACAATTTATGCAAGGTATTTATGTTAGATGTACCGCTTGTGATAGTGCCTCAAGTTGTATAACTTGCAACTTTTGTGATAATTCCGTGTATCTGGTATGAAACCAACCAGAAAAGTTAGGGGAACGAAAAAATCGTCTATATAATCCTACCCAATCTCCTTTTATACCTGTAGTTAATTGTGGTCCAGCGCTACTTAAAGTAGCTAGGAAATCATCTGGATTAAACAATTCAGGTATGGGTGTAGCCTACAGTAATTATAATTCACATATATTATATGTTTCCAGGTTTTTAAAATATAAAAGACCAAGATAGTACATAATTACTTTAAAAGGTGATATGTCCTTCTGTAGTGGCATAAGACTTGCAATATATCTTTCAAGAGGTATCATAAAACTTTCAGTTAGCTCTATTAAATGACGTTTTAAAAGAGCTGTTTGCACTTCTCCTGGTCTCTTTGTCTGAATACCTCTAAATAACTTCTTCAATATAGTTTTGTCCTTCTGAAGGAAAGGTTTATACTGTGTATAAACTCCTGGTTTTGAGTCTAATACTTTGAGATTCTCTGATTTTTTTATTTTGTACCTTTGATTTTCTGGAATATAAACAACTTAAATACGTTACTTGTACATTGTTTTATAGAACTTACCATTATTAGTTCCATTGCTTATTCTTATAATATGAGGCCAATGCTGTAAAGTCTTAGCAAAAAATGGATTAGTTACACCTAATATTACAGCAGGAGGTGATGGAGCATCTGTAGTATATTCTTTAAATTCAGAATCATGAATTGTAAAATAGGGTCGATGATCAGCACAATATTTTAATGGTGCTATCATTCTAAAAATAATAATCTTGTTATTTTTATTTTGAAATTATTTTATAACTGTTTTAAAAATGTAAAAAAATACTTACGCAATAAGGGCTTGGACCATTTCAGAGCAACCAGTAGGTGAACCAGCCATAACAACAATTGGTTCACTAAGTAATACTAATTCCCATAATAAATGTACATAACTTACAACACTAGCTAAACTTCTAAACATATCTCCTTCATAGGCAGATGTTAAAATTAGTCTTCGCGTTGCATGAAAATTTGGCGCATGATCCATGGCAGCAATTGTAGGTGCAGTTGCCTTATAGTTTTGATTTGGGATATATGTCTAAAATACAAACCATAGAAGAAAATACTAGAAGAAATTAGGAATAAAATTTATCAATTGTTACCTGAAATAAAACACCTATAAGTGGTAAATGCACTATTTGGCCAGGTGTTGGAGAAGGCCATTGGTCAATTTCCCTTACAATAGCTTCCATCACTGCATTACCCATTTCAAAAAATTCGGGTGCAATTAAAGCACACAATTCACCAAAGAGATTCACAAATGGCAGTTTTGTAATTATAACAATACTCTAATTTATAAATAAAATTATTATTTATTCTTTGAAAGAAGAGATTTATCTTTCACTTGGCGGAAGTATACGTAACCCCAATAATAATCTTTATCGCATTGTAAAAATGGTGGTGACCTTCTATCATATTCCTTTAAAGCTTTAGTCTCTTGAACTGCAGTTCCATTTTGTCTTATTCTGACATGATATTGTGTATCTCCCATACAACCAGAGTTGGAATCAGGAAAAGCAAGATAACAGACATTAGATCTCTCTTGTTCAGATAACTTGATATGAGATGGGTATATAGCCTATATAACAAGGAATACTATTAAAAATCTAAAATGTTTACAAAAAGAAATATTGCATTAATAAAAATACCTCTATAGCTTGGCCTAATTCAAGATCAAAAGTAACAATGCACATACAATGTACCCAATTGTGAAAACGTTCCCATTTTTCATATACCATTTCTTCTTTGCTATTTACATTATCCATTGTTTTAGTTTTTGAACAGGTGGCAACTGACATTTTACAAGAATTTTAGTTTAATGTAACCATATACACATATTAAGGGACATGTCACTTGTTGTCTTGTCAAGTGACAATTTCAAAAACTTTTCTTTAATTTAAAAATTAATATATTATAGTAACTCCTGTAAAGGAATTTGAGTATCTGAAAAATAATTACATATGTGTTAACATATCTTTACACTGCACAATATGTTAGTTCATATATTTACCAGATCAATGAATACTTACAGCTTTATTTAAGGTACACATTATTCTGTGCTTATGCATTAAAATTGTCTTCTAGGAAGCATTCTCATCAATTATAATAATTTCATGATTATATTTAACTCCAGCATATATATCTTTACCCTGTTTAACAACATTTAAAAACATGTAATCCACTTCTACACTTTGTTTATTACCATTGAGTACAGGGAGAAAAGTGTCAGGGAAAAATGTTAATTGAAGAATTAAAGAACTCAAGTATCAAAAACACGAGGGACATTACACTTATGTTTATTTCATTATTATTTGCTATTTACACACAACCGTTAAAATGCCCACGTGTTTTCCATCCCTTGATAAGAATAATTTGCCAAACATGTCAGTTGGACATTTGAAACAATGGTATGGCAAGGAAAATGTTCATGAATAATGTTTGCACCAGTACTTTTCTTCACCAAAAGTATCTGCGTATGTACGTGTTTAAATGGACATACGTCGTTCAGTCTCGCTTTATTGGAGAAAGTCTTCATAATGCTCGGTGTCTATAACAGTAGTTATAACCTCCGAAACCAAACATGTACGTATTTTCAGAAACTTAATTTATCTGAACACGTCAATCCTGTCAGATAACGTTAGATTGCAGATATATTACTTATATTCCGATTGCAATCTGCACAATTTTGTCTCGCACTTTAGTCATGAGAAATTTTCTACTGCCCTATCCCTGAAACATTAAACCATAGCGGTATATACTGACGCTCTATTAACTTGAATCATAAACTTATTCGTAAGCAAATCACATCATATTTCGAACTTGCTGCTTGTGATTTTTCTGTTAGTAAAAGATATTAAAAGTTTAAACTATAAGAAGAACAATGCTTTAGTTTTGCAGAAATATTACGAAGGACAATAATCATTAAAACATATTCCCGTTAATCTGGCTTACTTATAAACATTCAATTTTCATATTATTTTAAATTTAATTAAAAAAATTAAAAGCATATTTTTATTGTATTTAATATTATTTGTATTAATTGTGCAAATAAATTTTGTTACGTATAAATAACCACTATATAGTTTATATTAGTCATCAAATTTTTGTATATTATTATACAAAACGAAAATCTTTACAATGCGTGCATTATACGCATGCATATTACATTTGTATTATTTCATATTGATCAAAATTTACGATTTGTTACATGATTATAATGTGGATAGGTGCATGTAAATATAAACTATACAAACTTATACAAATAAATTTTATTTTACAATAATTATAGCGAACTAACAAGAAAAGTGATATTAATTTTATTATCATAAACTACAAACGAAAGTATATACATTTCTTGTTTAATTGGCGTGTAATTAATTTGTGCGTTTGAATAATTTTTCTATAGTGTTTCAACTTTAATTTATTACTATACACGAATTATTATAAAAGTTTAATTTACAATATCATTATTAAATAAAAAATAAACTGTTTGTTTTATTGCTCCTTGATTAAGTATTATTAAAAATTGAAGAGTTTTTAATAGTTTATGTTTCTATTCTTTTTAATTCCAGAGTAGATAATAAAGCTAGTTTCAAGAACTTTAAATGAATTGTTTTATATTTGTTTTATATATATATACACATACACACATATGAAATATAACATATAAAACATGTATATGTATATATAAACGGGGCTATTATACTAACAATAGAGCAAATGGATACGCCCCTGAGTGGACGATTGCGCGCGTGCTTAATCTTCGCGGCTGTCACGTTCTGTCAAGCCCGGTCGTCAGCCTGTGCTCATCAGCCATGCTGTGTCTAACTGTAAAAAGCATAAATTCTAGCCATTAAGTGTCGCTTGGTGCGGTTCCAAGCTATTACAAAAAACAGTGGCTTGCAATCGCGATCAAACATGTACCGTATCTTTCCCGATCTAACAGCCGATACGGGTGTGTCTACGCGCGTGTTCCGATACGTGACCAAGTATGTCAGTCAGTTCGTAAAAGTGCGAGTGTGCCGTAGCCGTAGCAAGCATTAGGTTACCGGTAAGCAGAAATTTCCTAACGATGTCAACTGACATCCTGCAGGATAAAAGCGTAGCCTTGAACGGCAAGAACGACGTACCGGTAGTCTCGCAGCCCACTACCAGGGGTGGACTTAGGGTATACAAGATTGTTGTTTTGGGTGATGGTGGTGTTGGTAAATCAGGTATTGCAATTTATACGATGAATTATTTGAAGGACGTATTATGTTGCGTGTACATCATAAAAATCATTTTTCAGCTGTCACTTTACAATTTGTCAGTCATAGCTTTCTTGACTATCATGATCCAACTATAGGTAAGAATTTGTTTTATGCAAAATGCTGTAATGAACACTTATAATTCTTTTTCTTCTTAATATCTCTTAGCTCTCAGGATAATATATAATTTAATGTTCTTTATTATTGACAGAGGATTCATATCAACAACAAGCAGTTATAGATGGTGAGGCTGCACTTTTAGATATATTGGACACTGCAGGGCAGGTCAGAATTTGTTGTTGTAAAACATGATAGGATAGGAAATTATTGGTATTGTGTTATAGCTTATTACATGTAGTACATTTTTTTTATATATAGGTGGAATTTACAGCTATGCGTGACCAATACATGAGATGTGGAGAGGGCTTTATGATATGTTATTCTGTAACTGATAGACATAGCTTTCAAGAAGCTTTGGAATATAGAAAATTGATAACACGTGTAAGAGCTAATGAAGATATACCATTGGTATTAGTTGGCAATAAATTTGACTTGCAGCATCATAGAAAGGTAGAACATCAATTTTCATCTTATAGTGATAGTTCAGGTGATAGTTTCTATATTATAATGGTATTATAGGTAACCACAGATGAAGGAAAAGCACTTGCTGAACAGCTTGGTTGTCCATTTTATGAAACATCTGCAGCCCTCAGACAATTTATAGATGATGCATTTTATTCATTAGTCAGGCAAATCCGAGCTAAAGAAAAGTCAAGAAACTCAGTACGTAAACATAGTCGTTGGTGGCGGCTCCGTTCAATTTTTGCCTTTATTTTTAGAAGGAAGCAGAGACATGTTAACAATCACCACTATTCCCCATAAATGTAACTATTTTAATAGATGTCCTTTTGATAGCATTTGTTTTAAATTGACATAACATGGTAATATAAGCAGTTTGATGTTCTACATATTACACAACGAACAAAAGTTTCAATAATTTTTTTATATTTCATAATAGTCTCCCTATCTAGGGATTAAATCACTAACATCTCACTGCCTTATCTTTAACCCCATTATATTTTGAATGTCATACCAGAGACATGAAACATAGACTGCAGTTCATAATTTTTATCATAGACTTTGCAGCAATAGTGTCAGTTAGATGTAATTATTTCTGTTATTTACAACAAATTAAACGTGAAATAATACAGTCGACAAAAATATGATTTTATAAAAGTTTTCAATAGGAAAGTAATAGTTTGTTCATAACTCTCTGCCTCCAGGCACACTAATTTCTTCATTATTAATTATTAAAAAGGCTGTTAATATTATTTACAACATATCTTCCAGACAACAGTGATTAATAATTCAAATGCCTAATTAGCTAAGAAGTAATTTACTTTTGTTTTCTTAAATTAACACAATTGTAGTGTCCACTTAATAACTTCTTTTAAGTTGAAGTCTTGATTACAAATTTACAACTGTAATTTATATGACCAAAGAATTTAACATTTAATACTAAAACAACATGAGGTATTAAATTAAAACTTTACTAATGCAGAAGATTTTGTAAATGTGAGATGTATGAAAAGTTTTATAATGCTAAATGATTGTTATATTGTCCTAATTAATGATGAAAAGTTATTAACAACTGAAATTTATTTATGCTAATTTAATTTCTGCACAAATTACGAATGATATTATATTAAATTATATCATTACAAAGTATATGGAAGTTAAAATAATTTGTAAAGTTTACAAATGTTATATATTTAAAAATCGCACAAAGTGAAGAATTACAGTAAGACAACAAAACCTTATGTTTATAAACTACAAATACTTCTAAAATGGCTCCTAAACAAAATTTAATTTTTAACAGTATACAGCTAATAGATTCTATTTTCATGATTTTTAATGTTTGTTATTTATTGAAATTTTTAAATCGCGCAGCTTGAGAATACGTGATTTTGTTTTTAGAGCATGTATATTATAGATCAATTAAGTTTAGCTATAAATTAATAGAATCATAATATACTTTACATAGTTGCCAGGTAATAGGGCAAATTTATAATGGCAAATAGTCATCAGATAAAAGAAATGGTTAAATGTAAGTTTATATACTAAACGTCTAGTCGTTACTTAATGTTTCCTAGTCAAATTTTGCATTTTGTTAAACATGCAATAATTTACAGTTTACATATGCAGTTATGAATTTTGATTAAACACAATTTAACGTGATCGTTTATATATTTATCATATCTTATAAATATTTATACATGTTGGTATTATATTTGTTATAACATTTTATAAACAGTTTATTATTAAGAAACACTGATCATTAATGTTTAATTCATTTTGTTAGCTAACATAAAAATCCGGACTATTTTATTTTGTAGAATAAATATAAAGTATTATTGTCAAAAGATGATGATAAACTACACTAATAATAGCTTTGTACCAAGACAGTAGAAAGTATTATTAAATACAAATTAACTGTATGTAGCAATGAAATATATGTATAGTATAAAATCTGTGTAATATATGTATTATGTAAAATGTGTTTAATCCTGAAACATTTGTAATAACAAAAAGAGATTGTAGTTATTTAATTATGTAATGTAATGTTATTTATCTTCACATTTCATTACAAATTAATGTGAAATTTATATATAAAAGACGTGGAAAAAACAAATGTAATAATATGTAATATATTAATATGAAAATGAAATTTGTAAAACTCTGTTTACCAACATAACATCATACATATGTATTACTTATAAATCAATTAATAACACAAATATTAGGAATTAGAAATAAATAATGTAAGTAATGTAAATTCAAATTAATTCTGTATTTAAAAAAATACAGAAAAACACATTTTACAATGACAATACAATAAAATAATTAGATGCAATGTAAGTTTGTGATGTACTACCAAAAGAATTTTAATAGGAAAAAAATGAAAAAACGCACATAATACATATGCTCACTTTGATATTGAGCAATAAATTTGATATGATTGGAATAAATTTATGTTCAATTAATGTCATACATGAATTGTAATTGTAACACACTAATTGGAGGAAACAAAATACAAATTGTAATTGTATTTAAAATATATAGTCCTAATCTATAAATATTTAGTTTCTATGCAATGCATGTTTCACACATTAAATACTCTCAGAACATATATCTATTTTCATACTCTGCACTAAAAACCTACAATAGTATTACACATTATTTCGCAGGTATAGGTTAGTAATTATATATTACTTGATAATTAATGTATAGAAAAAAATTTATTTCTGAAAATTATTTGAATACATTTAATAAATATTGAATTTTGATAGTATTTCTATTTATAACATGAATAAAAAGTATATTAGTAAAAACATCCATTTCATTTATTTACATTCATTTTAATAAAAAATGCAATAACAATATAAAATAACGAAGAAATATCTTAAATAATAAAAATCTGACGCACGATATAAGTGGTATAAATAGAGTAAATTGATACTTAAAAATCTTAAAACAATCTTCGAAATTCCTTTACATTCTGGTAGGGTACATGTATTCTGATTTCTGTAATTGGACTATAAAAGATTGGACACCAATCACTTATACAAATGTTGAATTATTAAACATAAACTTGTATGTTATTACTTATAAATGGATAATTATGAATTGTATAAAGCATTCAAACTATTTTTTGCTTTAAGAAAAGGTATAATTCTATTATGTTTAATAAATGTTTGACACATATTTTTTAGTCACTGTATGAAGTACTCTTTTATTATTCATTATCAGTCTCCAATGGTTCCTTCTTTCAATTGTAGATCTCTGTCACTATCTATTACGTTCCCGTCCGTGGTTCCTGTATTTCCTTGTTTATGATTCATAACAAAAATAAAATAATTTGAATCTATTTGTTATTTTTATGTAAAAAGAATATAGATTAAAAACAAAATCAATTACATGTTTATTAAGAATTTCATACCTTATTATATGGTAAGCAATAAAAAAATAAATTATAATAATCACATATGTTTGAATTAAAGCAAGTACTTACCCATGTCTGGGTTGTCCTGTATGTCATCATTTGAATCATTATTCTTTTGTGTTTTTGGACTTGTTTGAGCTGAAAGTCATGTAAACTAAATTACTACTCTAAAATAAAACAGTACAAATGTTTATAAAAATTTGTAATATAAGCTCATACTACAAATAAACCATTACAATTAAATAACATTTTAGTAACCCCTGGTATTAGTAAGTCCTCACCAATTAGTTGGTACCTATGTATATTTTATATATAGACCTCGACTGCCTTTCATAATGTATTCTACATCTAGACAAGAAATAAAAGTATTGCATAATACACTAAAAATTTATAATATTAATATATATTTTATTTTTTAATATGTTAATACAAATAAATTTGATAAAAT